GAGATTTGATGATGGATCAAATGTGAGAGAGAAAAGAGAGGAGGCAAAGATGGACTTTCAGATTTCTAAACTGGGCAATGGAGTGAATGGTGGCACTGTTTACTAAGATTTAGGAGGAAGAGTGCTTGAGGGATCCAGTAGGGAGGGAGAAGAGAGAGAAGTTTAATTTTGGGCATGTTAAGTGTGTGGTGCCTGTGGGCTATCTGTATGGGAGTGTTTTGTCTGAAATTGGTTATGCAGGCTGAAACTTAGGTTGCTACCTGGGCAAGAAGTATAACTTGGGACTCCTGTAGGTACAGTATGCTCTATAGTGTGTGCTTCTGTAACATGAATTAGTTCCTGTGTGATTGGTAAATGGAGGAATGATGCTAGAATAGTGCAGAAGTCATGTTGGTTCATATGTAGTTTTTTTCTATGTCAGAGGTAGGATTGTGGGAATGAATATAATCTTCAACTAGAAAGGAAAAAAGTGCTTAGCTCAGTTGTACTGTTATTAGGAATTCTCGTTATAGACCATATATATCACTCTCATTATATATAATTTATATATTATTATGTATTCTATTCACATTAATATGTGTGAACCTAATAGCCTATTAATATATTAATATAATGTGGGAAACATAATAAAATGTCTTTTACTGTGGAGACTGCTGATTTGATTGCTAATCTAATGCGTGTGGTCCCAGAGATACATTATGAAACTTATAGTTATGATACTTTTATACCATAGTGAAATAATGTATAATGAAAAATCTATTTGAATTTCTAACAAAAATATACTTCTATTTCAAAGTACCATTTATAATCCTGAATAATGGTAAGAGAAGACTGTCACATATTCTCAGATAACTGTGAAGCAGTGTTCTTTTCTGGTTAAAAGCTTACTCATTCTCTGATTAAAATTTAAATTTCATGACACTTGATGTGCAAGTCACATCACCTCATCATGTGACTTTCTGAGTTTGTTGTTTTCTTAACTGTAATTGCTCAGTTTACTTTGGAGCATTTATTTTTCAAGCACCAAACTGAATTGTTTCCTGTGTGTCTGCATTTGTGTGTTAAGGAATTCATATACATTACATTTCTTCTGCTTGATCTTGCCATTAATATACTTCGTGGAGTGTTGACTATATTATAAATTAACTTTAAATATTCTTATAATTATCAGTTATTTGTATTAACAGTTTTTTTCTAGAATAGTACTATTATCTGGAAACATAGAAGTGAACATTTATTTCTAGTTACTGATTACCATATTTGCATTTTTGAACAATTTGTTCTTAAAGTAATTATAATTAGATCTTTAAAAGCCTTAAGTAAATCTATGCCAACTGTTTCCCCCTACTGAAAAGTCTGAAAACTCATCTAGCTATGTCCCTTAATAAAAACAGTCTTAATTTGCCTAATTTTTGCCTTTTTAATATGTTAGAGTTTAAAACAAGTGACTTAGCTTTTTCATGTTCATGGTGACAGAATATGAGCTTGACTAAATTTATATTTGTGTTCCGTTTTTGTTCCTGTGTTATTTATGCTTGTCCATATTAGCATTATTTGTAGCAGATTATAAATAAGGATCAAATTCTTTGTACTTTCTGGGCACAGTATATGCACAGTAATGCAAAGACGATTGTTTAATAATAACCCAAGTAAAAAACAAAGAATGTTAGAGTGCTTATGAGACATCTTAACTATATTTAGAATATATTTAGGCACAGAAGGGTTAAATGAAAAAGGACAGAAAAAGGTATCATTATCACATTAAAAGCAAGTTGGTATATAGTAGCTATTTTGATTCAAATAAGGTAAATTTTATGGCAGAAACCTTTGAGATACTATATTTTATAATTATAAAGTGCTCAGATACAACAAATCTAATTTTATATATTCTGAGAACCTGTTTCTATTGTATATTGTTTCTCTTAGGTTTAGTTACGTGGTCTTCTGTGTCTGATTATTTCTAATTGAGTGCTGATTGTTTCTAATTGAGTGCTGATTGTTTCTGAGTAATTTCTAATTGAGTATTAAAAATGTAGAGATTTTTTGAGTCCTAGGATGACATTATTTTACTCCAAGGAAGATGTACCTTTGCTTCTGGTAGGTGTTTAGACTAAGGGCACTAGCAATCCCAGATCATCTTAATCGAATCCAGAATGGGAGGATTTAGAGCTGGGCTTCAATACAATGGAGGGCAGGTCTCAATACAGGCCACCCTAACTCCCAGGGTGTAGCCTTTAAAGACTCAAACCAAAGCCCTTCCTTGGCAAGCCATACATTCCAATTTCTGTTCCTCTTGCAGGTAGGTTTTAGCTCAGTCTTTTGAAAGCTCTGTTCATGTTTTCACTGGAGTCAGATTATGAAAAGCATTTTGTTGACTGTAATCAACTACAGGAAGATACTTTTTAAGTATTTGTCTAAAACTCAGTTTATAGCTGAATATCAAGCTGAACTGAATTACTGGATGAGTTCCATAGTATACAATATGACATTAGTACTGAAACTAAGAAACTATGGGAACAAACCTCTGCGTATCTGAAATTACTGGTGTGATATTTTCAAACAATTTTAAATGTTGTATCTTGACAAAAAATGAAAAATTCTAAAAGGAGAAATAGACAAAACTACAATCATGGGAGAAGATTTGAACAGACCTCTTTCAGCAATGGGTGAAAGATGTACACACATGATTTGAACACTGTTTTTAATAAACTTGATCCAATTAAACTCGACTCAGAAACTGCGGAATTCATCTTCATTTCATGTGTACATGGAACATTCACCAAAATTGGCCATAGAATTAGTCTCAACACATTGCAAAGGATTAATCTTATAGAATATGTTCTCCAGCCCTAGTGGAATTCAGCTAGTAATCAAAGGTAGATAACTAGAAAATATCGTATGTTTGGAATTTAAGCAGTATACCTTGTATGACATCATAACAGAATGATTAGAGTAGAAGTAAATGTAATACAGAATACACAGTAGAGGAGACCTACTAAGTAAAAAATTATTTTTATAGACTAATAAAACTGATAAATCCTTAGCGAGACTGATAAAACAAAAATCAAGTCACAAATTTAGAAATGAAAAAGACAATCTATAGATCGCATAGCCATTAAAAAATTATAAGAAGGTGTTTTGTATAACTTTATGCTCATAGATTTCATACATAGATGAAATGGACAATTTCCTATAATTTATCGAAATTGACAAAATAATTATTTTATAGCTATTAATAAAATTGAATCCATAATAAATATGAAAGTTAAATCTATACAGAAAACCTTCCCACGAAGAAGACTCCAGGCCCGGTGGCTATACTTTTGAATTCTTTCAAACATAAGGAAGAAACAACAATAGTGAAGGATATAGTCATATGTTATTTGTGGAACTCAAAGTTAATTTTTAAAAGGTGTAGAGGGCATAACCAGAGGAGTTCTGATGAAACAGGGTCAGTCAGTGAGATTTGAGATCTACCTACCTGCTGGGCAACCCCCAGGCTGAGGCAGATCTTTGGAGCCCTTGGGCTCAAGAGAACATAGTCTGAAAAACTGCTAATCCAATCCAACCTTCTCTTTAAAAGTTCTTAGCAAGACATTCTTGAACACTAATAACTTTCACTTACAATGTGATAAACTGAAAGTGGAGGGGAGAATATGGATCAAGGGCTCTTAAAAGTAATCCAAGGAATTATTAATATAACTAGTAATGTTTTATTTTTATGGTATTTGTATGATTTTTATATGCTCTTGAAGTATATGCAGTCTAATTTGGGTAAATATTGTCACTTGTGTCCCAATAGAATACCAATAACACAAATAATCATATTTGCCTATACAGAGAGTATAGGTAAATCTAACATTGCGGATTTAATTAATGTTGACACCAAAGGGTGGTAGGTAGTGACTGAAGAATTTTATACATTTCCATGTTTATTTATATAATCTTTTAAAATTTAAATTTAGTATACAGTACATAAACTTCATAGGAAATTACATATGTTTGAGTATTTTCTTAATGAAAGGTTTAAAGGTCTTAAGAATTTTTAAATGACTTGAATATAAATGCACTTGAAAGAGTTGAGGAAATTTTAATGAAGAATCTGATAGACTGAGGTAGAAATGAGGCCCTTTCTGTTTAGCTAATGCTTGTAGAACTCTTAATTGTCAGACATTGTTCCTAATGCTTTGCATGGTGCATACATTCAGCTCTATGATGTCGTAGATTTAAAAAAGGATTAAGGATGAGAAGGATTAAAAAGATCAAATAGAAATTCTGAATAAGATGAAAAGAGCATAACATAGAAAATGTATGTGATAGTGTGAGCACTCTCATAAACCTAGATACTTTTTCATCACATGCGTACCTCTTATTTCAACATATTCAAATGTGTCTTTGGTATTCAAAAGATGACTGTTTATGTTTGTCCTTTTCAGTGACATTCAACAAGTCATAGACAGAGACTTTCAACTAAATCTTAACTTCCAAAATTTATGGAACTTTTAGGAGTTGTCCAACTTTAGGAGTTGTGTCATCACCCTATTAAATGTTGCATTTGAGAAAAATGATATCGATGAAATATGTGAATAATAAATAAAATCTTTTCATATTCTGTTCAAAAGTATTGCAATTTGCTACAATAGCTTAGTTATACATTTTTGATTATTGTTTCCACTAACAAGCAGTACTCAGTGTTTTTGGGAAGAGTCAGTATTCTATAATGCTACATTTGTTTTGAAATAAGAGTTGGGAAAGTAGATCATGAAGTATAACACAAGAAACTTACTGAAAACAGAACAAAGCTATTCCAGATATCAGGTATACCCATATATTTTTTGCCCAAAAAATTCTGAAATTGTGTAGTTTAGGCTTTCTCTCCAACCTATACCCTGAATCAGATTTCTGTGGAATATAATTAACTTGCTATATAATGTTTGTATGTGAATTTGTTCTATTTTTTACAGTATTTTTAAACCAAAATGTTTGCCTTATTTCCCTAGGGAGTTGGTGTCTCAGTTCATGGGCAATTTCGAGTGGCCACTGAAAAGACTGTCTTTGCAATGCCAGAAACAGCAATTGGTAAAAAACAAAAAATGTATTCATAATTATATTTTTAGTATCTTCTTTTGATACACTTTATATTACATCCTATTATTGAAGGAATTGATGAAACCTTGTTTTGAGATATAATAAAATACCTTTTAAGAAGAAATTAGAATTGGAAGATACCTAAAAGTTTTATTAGCTCAGTAATTGAATTTTAAAACACAGAAGTAATAATATTTAACTGGAAACCATAACACACTGCAGTTAATTTTAGATGAAAGATTATTGGGTGGAAATATTCTTAAATTTATATCTCTGATGCATTTTGAGTTAATTTTTGTATATGGTGTGAGGTGTGGATCAAGTTTATTATTTTGTATATGGATATATAATCGTCCCAGCACCATTTTTTGAAAAGCTGTTGTTTCTCCACTGATTGCCTTGGCACATTTGTCAGTTGTCTATGTTGATCTTGTTGCCAGTTCCACACTGTCCTGTCTTGATTACTGTAGCTTTATAGTAAGTTTTGAAATCGGTTAGTCTTAGTTCTCCAACTTTGTGGGGTTTTTTTTCCCCTCCTCCAAAGTTGTTTTGGCTATAGAGTTCCTTTACATTTCCATATGAATTTTAGAATGAGTTTGTCAGTTTCAACAACAATAAAAAAGCCTACTGGGATTTTATTTTGATTAGGATTGCCTAGAATCTTAGACCAATTTGGGGAGAACTGACATCTTAATAACGATTCTTCAGACCCATGAGCAAGGTATATCTCTCTACTTATTTGAATTTCTCTCAACAGTTTTGAAGTTTTCAGTGTATGGGTCTTGCATGCCTTTGTTAGTTTTATCCTTAAGTATTTTATATTTTTTGATATGGGTTCTAAATTAAAAAAAAATTCAGTTTCTGTTAATTGCCTATATCTAGAAATAAAATTGATTTTTGTATATTGATCTTGTATCCTAAAAGCTTGGTAAACTCACTTATTAGTTTTAGTATATTTTTTTTTAGATTCCACTGTATTTTCTAAATAGACAGTCATGTCTATTAAATATGCAAATAAAATATTAATATTACATATAAAAAATGCAAATAAAATCAGTTTTACTTTTTAATCTGAATACCTTTTATTTCTTTTTCTTGCTTTATTGTACTGACTAGAACCTCCAATACAATGTTGGCAGACGTGGTGAGAACAGACATTCTTGCCTTGTTCCTGATCTTAAGGGAAAACATTTAATCTTTCACCATTGAGTATGATTATTAAATGTAGATTTTTTTTTTATAGATGCTATTTATCAGGGTGAAGAAGTTCCCTTCTATTCCTAATTTGCTGAGTGTATTTATTAGGAGTGGATTTTGGATTTTGTTAAATATTTTCCTGCATCTTTTGAGATGATCATATGCTATTTTACTTTTTAAATTGGTTTATGTGGTAAATTAATTAGGTTAGTTTTTCAACATTAAACCATCCTTGCGTTGCTATGATAAATCTTACTCTGATAAGATGTGTTCTTTTTATATATTGTTGGGTTTGATTTGCTAAAATTTAATCTAGAATGTTTTCATCTGTGTTCATGAAGGATATTGGTCTGTGGTTTTCGTGTAGCATGTTCATGCTGGTTTCATTTTCTTAAAGAGTTTAAGTAGGATTAGTGGTATTTTTTCATTTCATTTATTTTTTATTTCTGCTCTAATCTTTATTGTTTCCTTTCTTTTACTTATTTTTGGTTCCATTTTCTCTTCTTTCTCTAATTTCTTGAGGCAGAAATTGAATCATAGATTTAAGACCTGGGTATAGGATTCTAGACTGACAGGTTTTTAAATGTCTGTTTCTTTAAAACACATTGTTTCTTATTTTCATTGTTTCCCATGAGAAATCTGTTGTCATCCTTATCTTTGTTCCTCTGTAAGTAAGTGTCTTTTTTCCTTTGGGAGCTCTTAATATTTTTTTGTTTACGACTGATTTTGAGTAATTTGAAGTGCCTTGGTTTAGATTTCTTCATGTTTCTTATGCTTGGGGCTTTTTGAGCTACTTGGTTCTGTGGGTTTATAGTTTTTGCTAAGTTTAGAAAAATACTTTGCATTATTTCTTCAAATATTTTTTCTGTCCTCCCACCCGCTTTTCAGGAACTCCAAATACATTTATATTAGGCCACATGAAGTTGTTTCACAGCTTACTCATGCTCTGTTTGTTTTTAAAAATTCTCTTTCCCCTTTTTCATTTTAGACAGTTTCTATTCCTGTCTTCAAGTTCATTAATCTTCGCTTTTACAAAGTCTAATATGTCCTTAATCCCATCTAGTGTAGTTTTTACCTTATACATTGTAGTTTTCATCTCTAAGAGTTTGATTTGGGTCTTTGCATATTTACTTAACTTTTTGAACATATGGGATATGTTTACACTGACTGTGTCAACGTCTTTGCTAATTCTTACATATATGTCAGTTATGTGTAGTGATTGATTGATTTGCCCCCTCATTATAGATAGTATTTCCCTGCTTCTTTAGTTGTCTGATAATTTTTTATTGGATCTAGACATTGGAAATTGTACCTTGCTGGTTGCTGGATATATATATTTTTTTAATTTTATTTTGTTGTTGTTCAGAATATACACAGCAAAACATACACCAATTCAACAGTTTCTACATATACGGTTCAGTGACATTGACTACATTCTTCAAGTTGTGCAACCATTCCCCCCTTGCTTTTCTGCGTTGTTCCCCCATTAGCATAAACTCACCGCTGCTCTCTAAGGTTCCTGTCTAATCTTTTGAGTTGCTGTTGTCAATTTGATCCCACATAGATAATTCTTAAAAGAGCATAATCCTCAATGCAGACATTTTTTACTAGTTAAGCTGAACTATCATTTAATTTTAAGGAGACTTCAGGGGATATTTTTGGTTTAAGTTTAAAAAAAAGAGTAGCTGCTGAGGCTCCATATGTATAACCAAATACTTCATGGGATTTGGTTCCTTAGTTAGGAGGTTTAGGTCATGGTTTCATGGGACATCCCAATTAATTGGCCAATAACATGTTTAGTGCTTCTGTTCTACATCTTAGTTCATTGCGTAGTGCCTGGGGTCTTCCAAGCTTACAAGTGGGAGGTGGGGCCAAGATGGCAGAGTAGTCAGATGCTTCCTGTGGTCCCTCTTACAACAAAGGCCCCAAAAAACAACTAAATTCATTATATATGACAATCTAGGAGCCCTGAATATCAAAGGCAAAGTTGAGGAGTTGGACTGAGTGGCAGGGGGAGGGAGAGATGGTTTGCAAGCGAGGAATTGCCAAACCTGACCCTGCGGGAGCCAGCACCCTTCAGGCTGGATCAGCTGGTGTGCATGGTGAGGCAGGCAGTGGTGCTCGGGAGGCATTTTCCACACTGAGAGAGACCCAGTGGCAGAGAATCTGCTCACGTCTCCAGAACCAGTGAACAGTGGTACTCAATTGGCAAAAGATAAGTACATGCATCCGTCCTACCGTGGGGATCAAAAACACCCCCTCTGGGAAAAAACCTCTTACCGATTTACCTGCCCCCTCCCCAATCTTCACTGGATACTGGGCCAGCTTCAGTGATTGCCGCATCCCCTGAGCTGGAAGTAGGACGTGTCATGCGCCCTGAGCCATTCTCCCAGCCTTCGAGAGGGAACAAATTAACAAACAGGAAAAAATAATCTGCCAGATCCGGTAAGCTGGGAACTCAGGGTAGGCACAGCTCCTTTGCCTAAGCACAGGCATAACGGGTTCACAGACTTTGAATGTCTTTCACCCCTGCATAGACCTGTGTGGGCCCATTTCAACAGCATAGGCCCTCATTACCACAGTACAACAGGGTATATACCTGAAGCCTAACTTCAGCTGTGTCAGCTATATGGTGAAGTGGCAGATTTGTGACATTTGACACTGCTCTGCCATTAGTCAGGGTCCTCACCTACCCACATCTGGGGCCTGAGGACTGGTGGCTCCACTTACACTGCCTAGCCACCCACAACAGGGTCCAAGAACTGCCTCCCAGTCCTTAACAGCCAACAGCATTGGGTGCCCAATGTCCAGCTGGAAAACCCACACACTTATGCGCTGTAAAGAACAGGGACACGCTTTCCTTCCAGACACTCAGGGGCAGCCGTAAGCCCCCTGCCTTGCTCAGCACCTGACTCTCTACTGCGACCAGATACCTGTGTCTACACTAATCACCCATGCCTGTCTAGGACTATAGGCGAGAACCTGCACTACACACTTGGTGACCGATTACCTGGACACCTGAGCTGAATCAATACAAGACAAGTAAACAGACTCCTGGGCTCACATACCTAGTAACAGCTGTAACCACGTAGTGATGGGACGTTAGAGCTTCAAAGATGCCAATAATCAAACTAGCTCACATGAGCAGCCTATTTGGGCATATCAAAACAAAACAAGAAGCTAGGACACAGTAAGCAAACATAAATAAATATAATAACCTATTGATGGCTTGGAAAAAATAGTCAATATCAAGTAACATAAAAAGGCAGACCATGATGGCTTCAGCAAGCTCCCAAAACAAAGAATCAAGAAATTTTCCAGAGGAAAAGAACTTCTTGGAATTACTGGAGGCAGAATACACCAAAAGATTAATGTAGAAAACTCTTCAAGAGATGAGGAAGGAGATCAGGCAAAATGCAGACCAAGCCAAGGAACATACAGACAAAGCAGTAGAGGAACTTAAGAAGATTAGAGAAGAACATAATGACAAATTTAACAGGTGCAAGAATCCATTGATAGACAGGAAACAGAAATCCAGAAGATTAACAATAAAATTTCAGAATTACACAACTCAATAGAATAGGAGCAGAATTGAGGCAATGGAAATCAGAATTAGTGAGATTGAAGATAAAGCACTTGACACCAACTTATTTGAGGAAAAATCAGATAAAATAATTTAAAAAAGCGAAGAAACCCTAAGGGAAGTAACCTATGAGTGATTGCAGTACCAGAATGGGGGGGATAACAGAAAATACAGACAATTGTTGAAGATTTGTTGATAGAAAGCTTCCCTG